GGTTCAAGTGCTGGAACTGGTGGCTGGCTTTCTCACTTTCCCTCTCCCTCTCTCTGTCCCTTTCTGGTGAGCACATGCGCTCTACAGCAAAAATTTGAAAAGTAACAGCAATAATAATAATAAATAAAATTAGAAAAGTAACTAGTTTTTTAAAAATTGCTATAAGGCAAGTGTGCTCACTGGAGGGAGACAGAGAAAGGGAAAGTAAGAGCACCTTCCAGGAAGGATGGCCATGCTGTAATCCCTTCTCCTCCCTTCTCTCCATTCTCTTAAATTTCAGGCATGCACACACATGTGCCAGGTGAGTTATTGAGACTCAAGCTGTGCTGTAGCCATGTGGGAGCTAGCCACTTTAACCACTACGCCACCAGCTGGCCCCCAAATTTAATACTTTTGAAAACAGTTTTACTGAAATGTAAATTACATTTTGAATTGCTTATATTTAAAGTGTACAATTTGTACACTGTTTATGCCCAAACTAATTGAATTATACACTTAAAATACATGTCATTCAAAATACCAATTATACTTCAACAAAACTGTTTTTAAAAACATTATCCGTGGGGACCAGCAGGTGGCATGGTTAAGGTGCTGGACTCTCACATGGCCAATTATGGTTTGAGTCTTGGAACCAGTGCCTTGAAACTCATACCTGGTATGTGTGCATATATGCCTCAAATCCTGGGAAGAGAATGAAGGAGAAGAGATTGCAGCATGGCCAATCCTCCTGCAAGGTGATTTCTCACTTTCCCCATCATTGTTTCTCTTTGTCTCTCTGGTGAGTACATGTGCCCTATGGCAAAAACTTTTTTTAAAAATAAAATTTTAAATGAATGGAGTAATGCTATGTGCTTACAAGGAAATTTTGGTGAATATATTCCACCACCTCCAGAAGCTTCACTGTTCCTATTTGTAATGTTACCCTCTCTTTCTTCCCCACTCAGACCCCCAACTCTGGTTATCACTAGACAACCACTGATCTGCTTTCCATCAGTATAAATTATGAAAATGGAATCGTTTAGTATATATTCTTTTTTGTCTAATTTCTTTCACTCAACATAATTATTTTGAGATTCATCCAAATACTGAGTTGTAGTCTACACTATGGATATGTCATAATCTGTTTATCCAATCACTTGTTGATGGATTTTTGGATTGCTTCCTGGTTTGGGTTATTATAAATGAAGTTGCTATGAACATTTGTGTACAAGTCTTTGCATGAATATACATATATATGCTTTTATTTCTCTTGGGTAAATACCAAAAGTGGAAAGGCTGGATCACATGGCAGGTGCATGTTTAACTATTTAAGAAACAGCCAAACTGTTTTCTGAAGTAGTTGTAACATTTTACGTTCTCATCAGAAATGTAGGAGAGTTCAATTTTACATTTTCATCCATATCTTCACCAACACTTGATAAATCAGTTCAGTTCTTTAAATTATGATTATGGTATCTCATTGTGATTTTAACTTGCATATCCCTAATGACTAATTATGTTACTTATTTGCTATCAAAATGTTGATTGAAGTGCCTATTGAAATCTTTTGCTCAATTTTTAAAAATTAGATTTTTGTAGTCAGCTGTGGTGGCATGGTAGTAACACAACACTCCATGATACTGAGGCCATGGCGTGAGTACTGGGTTTAGGTCCTGAGATCTCCTTGTGTGTGCTGGGCATATGTGCGTGCATGCCCATGATCCTGGCTGGCACTTATACTGATGTTGGAATGTGGCATGAACACTGTTCCAGGAATCTCCAGAGAGACTCTCTCTCTCTGTCTCCCATGCTCATGGAAGACAGAAATAAATAAATAAATGATTTAATTGAGTTTTTGTTTTCTTATTATGAACGTTTGAGAGTTCTTTATTCTTGACACATCCTTCTTCAGATATGTGATTTTCAAATATTTTCTTTCAGTCTTTGTGTGTTATTTTAAATTCTACTGACAATGCCTTTTAAAGGGCAAAAATTCTTAATGACTTTTGATGGAGCCAAATTTATCAATTTTTTTCTTTTAAGAATTATGCTTTTGGTGTCATATCTAAGAAATCTTTGTCTAGCCTAAAGTCACAAAGATTTTCCTTAATGTCTTCTAGAAAAGTTACAGTTTTAGGTTTTACATTTAGGCCTATGATATATTTTGAATTCATTATTACATGTTGTGTGAAATATGGATCTAAGAGGTTTTTTTGCATATGAATATTTTAATAGGCAGAGTAATGCATCCTCCCAAAAATACTATGTCCTTGTCCCCAGAACTAGTAAATATATAAGAATAAATAGCAATTAGAAATTAAGGCTGCAGATGAAACTGAGGCTGCCAATCAATTGACCTTAAGTGAGGGAACTTATCCAGAATTTATCTGGATGGGTCCAATATAAGCATAAGGGCTCTTATAAGTGGAAGAAGGAAGGACCAGCAGGTGGCATAGTCGTTAAGGCACTGGATCTCACATGGCCAACTGTGTGCTTTGAGTCCCACATCTGGTGACATGAAAAACATGTTGGGTATGTGTGCATGTATGCCCAAAATCATGAAGGGAGAATGAATTTGGGCATGGCCATCCATATTAGGGGGTGATATCTCACTTTCTTGTCTCTCTCCAGTGAGAGCACATACCCTACAGCAAAAAAAAATCTTACAAAACAAAAGAAAAAGTGGAAGAAGGAAACTAAAGAAAGAACCCAAGAGATGACAGTATGAAGTGGACTTGGTTTATTGTTGCTGGTTTTGAAGGTGGGTAGGTAGCCTCTGAAAGCTGGAAAAAGCAAAGAAATGAACTCTACCCTAGAGTCTCTAGAAAGGACACCTACCTTGATATTTAGCCCCGTGAGACCCATTTTGAACATCTGATTTTAAGAATCCTAAGATAATAACATTTGTACTGTTTTAAGCCATAAAGTTTGTGGTAATTTGCTACAGCAGACATAAAAAATAGCGATTTTCAGTTGTTCAAGCACCATTTGTAAAGATGATCATTTTTACAATGAATTCCTTTTGATCTTTGTTGAAGACAATTGATGTTGCTTCTGAACCTCATTCTATTCTGTCAATCTATTGGGTCATAGGAAAAGTCACGAAGCATAATACATCATGGCTTTACACCAATACCGTATTGTCTTGATTACCATAACTTTATAGTAGGTCTTGAAATTGGGTAGTGTAAGCCTTCCAACTTTATTCTTTTTTTCTTACTTGTTTTGACAGTTTTAGATTCTTTGCATTAATCAACTTAATGATTTCCAACAGGAGAAAAAAAAAGCCTACTAGAGTTTTTATTGAGATTGTATTTAATTTATTGATCAATGTGGGGACCTATAACCTAACAATTGGTGTTTTAAATTTTTTTTAGTCTTTTTATCCATAGTATATCTCTCCATTTACTTAGGTTTTTTCAAAATTTCTTTCAGTAATGTATTACAGTTTTTAGTGCATGAGTCTTGTATATTTAAAAAAATCAGATTAAGACTTTATATTTCCTGTTTTCTATACTTATACAGTGATATTTTAAAATTTTAAGTTTCTAGTCCTCATTGCTGATATATAAAAATACATTTTTTAAAAATGTCAAAGTACGTGTTTACTTTATTTCACACATTGTGACAACATACCCTGAGATTTTCCCTTCTCTTTTCAAAATTTAATTTAATTTTATAAATTGTTATTTATATACATTGTACATATACATTCTATAGCATAGAATATGTTTTTTAAGGCATGCATGCAGTACACAACAATTAAATCAAGGATATTACCATAAACATCATCTTTTTTTTTTTTTTTTTTTGCCATAGGGTGCGTGCGTTCGCCAGACAGACAGAGACAGAGAGACATCCCCAGGGGGGATGGCCACGGCGCAATCCCTCTCCTCCGTTCTCCTCTCGGGATCTTGGGCACACACGCACACACGCCTGGCGTTGAGTTTTAAGCCACCGGGTCCGGGATGCGAACCGCAGTCAACTACAAGTCCAGTGACACAGCCATTATGCTAACTGCTGGTCCCCATGAACATCATTTTCAACAGAAAACTTCACAATCTTGTATCTGGTAAGAACTTTTATTCCAACAGGCCCCTCTCATCTACCTTCTACTATCTGCTCCTCTCCCATACATTTTCTAGTAACTATGCTTGTCCTCTTTATTGTGATATCTTCTGATCTTTCAATTTCTGCCATAGAGTGCAGATATTCAGTGCATATTGAGTGGGATATACCGTGTTTGTCTTTCTTTGTCTGGATCACTTCACTTAGCATTCAGTCTTCTATTTTCATTCACTTTAAATTAAATGGTTGGGTCTTGCTATTTCTTATGGCTGAGTAGTGTTCCATAAGTATGTACGTGCCTCAGTCCATTCATCAATCCATTCACTAGTTCTTGATTGGTCCTATGATTTAGCAATGTGAATAATGCCTCAATAGACATGGATGTGCAAGTGTTTTTCAGACAGTGTTTTCCTGGCCTTTGAATAAATACCAAGCAGTAAGGACTACTGGGTCATGTGGCATTTCTATTTGTAGTTTCTTGACAAAACTCCATATTGTTTTCTATAGTTGCTGCACTAATTTACATTTCTACCCCAATATCTTATATTGATCTCATAGTCTGAAGTCCTGTTAAACTCATGATTAGTTGTGGAAGTTTTTTTCATAGATTTCATGGAATTTTTCCAAATAGTAACATGTCATCTATGAATAAAGACAGTTTTAATTTTTCTTCTCCAATTTGGATGCCTTTATTTTTTTTTCTTTTTGCACTATCTAAAACGTCCTGTACAATGTTGAATAGATGTGAGAGTGGATATATATGTGCCTTGTTCTAATTTCGGGGGGGGGGAGGGAAGCATTCAGTCCTTTGCTACTAAGAATGTATAGAGTTTTTTTTTTTTCTTTCTTTTATCCCCCCATATGTCCTTCATCAAGTATAAAAAGCTCCTTATATGTTGGGTTTTCTGAGCGTTTTGTCAGAAATGAATGTTGGATTTTGTCAGATGACTTACCTGTGTCTATTGAGATGACCATATCATTTTTCTTTTCTTTCTTTTTTAAAATTTTCTAGAGATTTTTCCGATAGGGTACATGCACTTGCTGGAAAGACAGAGAGAAATCACTCCTCAGAGAAGATGGCCATGCCACAATACCTTCTCCATTCTCCTTTGGAGATTTTGGCCATACACACACACACACACACACACACACAGCACACACCCAGGGTGAGTTAAAAGCCACTGAGCCCAGGACTATAACCATGGTCGACCATGTGAGAGTCCAGCACCTTAACCACTATGTCACCCATTGGTTCATTCTTTTCTTTTAAAATATGGAATATTAGTTTCCTAGGGTTGTTGTAACAAAGTAGCATAAAGTGGATCTTGACCACCGAAGACCTTCTGGCCAGACTTCACCCTCCTGTACCCAGTCTATCCAGGAGCCAGGTTAGAGCACCCCACTTACTCTCTCTGTCTCTTTCCATCTCTCTCTATATATCTTTAATTAAAAAAATTTTTAACTTAGCTCTCAGCTGCTCTTTTGTCTTTCTAATTCTTACCTTTCCCTTTGGCCCCATAAGATAAGCCAATCAGCAGCCATCTATATTTGAGTTCTGAGTGGCTCCATTCACGTGGTGCACCGCTTGGCTTTTATTTTTTGACAAAAAGATTTCTTTCTTCTTGTTTTTGTCTTTTTTTTTCTCTTCTCTCCCCCTCCCCCCCATTATTACTTTTCCTTTTCTTTTTATCTTTCTCACTTTTCTGCTCAGCCTCCATACACTGATTTTCTAGACAGGTCTAGGTGCTCAGTAACCAAATATCTGAATACTTTTAGGATCAGATTAATCCTCAATTTTCATCGAATCAGTTATGCAAAGGAGGAAAAATGGTACTGTTTACAGACTGCAGGTCACTTCTTTCTACATTCCTCTGTTTGCTCAGATTTAACTCCAAAAAATAGGGAAAAAAATGTATAATCCATCAGATGGTCAGAAACCACCACAGAGGCACAAGAAACATGAGAAATGAAGAAAATATCTCACCTCTAATGGAAAAGAATAACTCTTCTTCCTCCATAGGGAATATAAGGAAACTCATACAAATGTCCGATAAAAAAATTTAACATATTCATAGTGACAAAGCTAATGGAGGTGCAAGAGAAGAGAGACAATGAACTCCAGTAAATGCAGGAGAAAAGAGACACCGAGTTCCAGGAGGTGAGGAAGTTCTTGAACGATCTGAAAGAGGAGATACACATCACAAGAAAGAATCAAACAGAATTGTTAGAGATGAAGGCTGTAATACAGGAAATCAAAACTTCTGTTGAAATGATTAAAAGCAGATTAGATCATGCAGAAGATCAAGTCTCAGATGTAGAAGAAAGAACCTCTGTCCTAGAAAAATTCACCAAAAAGACTGATAAAATAACCCAAAAAAATGAGAATAACATAATAAATGAGCAATACTAGATACCATTAAGCACCCAATCATCCAGATCATTGGTATTCCAGAAAATAAAGAAACTAATAAAGGTATTGATAATCTATTCCCTGAAATCCTGGAATAAAAATCTAGAAAAACCTAGAGAGGCACTCAAGTATCCAAACCCAAGAAATACAAAGGACCCCACATAGAATCGACCCAAGAAGATCTTCCCTGAGGTACATCATAGCCAGATTGACTGAAATCACAGACAGAGACAAGATACTAAAATTGGCAAGAGAGAAACGTCAAGTTATTTTCAAAGGATATCCCATAAGGTTAATGTTAGACCTCTTATTGGAAACAATGCAAGCAAGGAAAGAATGGGAAGATATATTCAAGGTGTAAAGTGGAAAACAATTTCTATCAAGAATACTATACTCAGCAAGATTATCTTTCATATGGGAAAAAAAGACAAAAACTTTCTCAGATAAACAAAACTTGAAAGAATTTACTAACACCAGACCAGCTCTTCAAGAAGTGCTGAAGGGAGTGTTATACCAGTGAAACTAAAGTTGAACACACAGAAATATGAGTTTAAGAAACAACCAAGAGAATAGCCAGTCTAATGATATGGTCAAGTGTGCAGCTGAAAGTTAACTTGCAGATTTTTAAGTGGAAAGATCAGACCACAGTAACACTGCAAATTCAATAGAAGGGAGATTAATTATGTGCGTCTGAGATAATGAAAAAGAATTTTTTGACTTTAGACTAAAACATTACTGATTTTCTTTAATTTCCATATTTAAGGATTTTTGTCTTCTCTTGAAACTGTTGATAGGTTCATCTACCTACTATTTGAACTGAATCCTAACGTTTTTCCTAGCTTTAAGTTTTAAGCAAATTTATCTTATCATTTTTTATTTTGATCTAAAACTAAAGCTTGTCTTTTGAAATGAAAAATAAATGAAAAAATACCTATTAATACCTAAAAAAAACCCCGCAAAGTGGCTGGCTCAAAATAATGGAAATTTATTCTGTCATAATTCTGGAGGCTGTAAGTCTGAAATCAAGGTGTCAGCAGAAATATGCTCCCTCTGAGACTCTGGGGAGAATCTTCTTTTACTACTTCCAAACTTCTAGTAGTGGGCATTAATGCATGGTATCTTTTGGCTTGTAGCTGTATCAGTCCAATTTATGCTCTGTTATCTCATGGCATGTTCTCTGCGTGTCTGTGGCTTCACATGAAAATGTTGTTCTTATTATAAAGACACCAGTTATGTTGGACTAGGTTCTAATGACCTAATCAAAGTCTATCTACAAAGAACTTACTTCCTTTTCTTTCTTTTTTTTTTTTAAAGAATTATTTTATTTAACTTTGTTTATTTATTTATTTAAATTTGACCAGAGAGAGAAAAAGTGTGAGAGAGGGAAAATAAAAAAGTAAGGTGCCAGGTCCAGGACTTGAACCATGGTTGGCCATGCGGGAGTCCAGTGACCTTAACCACCAGGCTACCTGCCAGCCATGCAAAGAACTTATTTCTAAATAAGGTCACATTCATAGATATTAGAAGGTAGAATTTTAATATATGTTTTGTGCAGGACACAATTCAATCCATGGTATATGGTAAGTTATACTGATAGATTTTCAAATGTTAAACCAACCTCATATCCTTGCTATAAACCCATTTGACCATGATGTATTATCTTTTATATATTATTAGAGTTTATTTATTTTATTAAGAATTTTTATTATGTTTATAAGAGATAGCAGTCTTTAGTTTTTTTTTTTTTCTTTCCCTTCATGTAGTCTTTATTTAATGTTGGCATCAGAGTAATGCTGACCTTTGGAAATAGTTGGAAAGCATTCCTTCCTCTTCACTTTCTGGAAGAGTTTTTATGGAATTGGTATTATTTCAGCCCTCAATGTTCCTTAAAAGGTATCTATAAAGCCAATAAATGTTTTTTCTTTTTCTTTTTCTTTTTTTTTGTGTGGGAAGCATTTAACTTACAAATTTAATTTCTTTTTTTAAAATTGTTTCTTATTTAATTTTATTCGTTTTCATTATTTTTTTACTTTTTTATTTTGAAATTGACCAGACAGAGACAGAGAGAGAAGGAAAGTGAGAGAGCAAGCTGCCAGGTCTGGGACTCAAACCACAGTCAGTTATGTGGGAATCTAGCCGCCTTAACCACCATGCCACCTGCCGACCCTACAAACTTAACTTCTTTAATAAACGTATGACTAGTTAAACTATCTAGTTCTTTTTAAGTGAGCTTTAATTGTTGTTTTCCAAAGAATTTATCAATTTTATGTAAGTTATCCAATTGGTATAAAGTTGTTCATAATATTCTCTTATCCTGTTTTTAAATGTCTATAAAATCCATAGTTATATCACCTCTCCTATTCCTGCTAATAGTAATTTGAGTGTTCTCTCTTATTTCTTGATCAGTCTTTATAGATGTTTACCAATTTTAATGACCTTTTTAAGGACCTCACTTTTGGCTTCATTTTTATTTTGTTTTGTTTTTCTCTTATCTATTTCATTGTCTTTTGTTCTGATCTTTTTTATTACTGTTCTGCAAGGTGCCAGGTCCAGGACCATAGTCAGGCATGTGGCAGTCCAGCTGCCCTAACCACCACCCACCTGCCAACCCCGCTTCATGTATTTTGAAGTTCTCTTATTAGGTACAAATCTTTTAGGATTGTTATGTTCACTTCATGAATTAAAATATTCCTCTTTATCCCTGGTAATATTCGTTGCTCTAAAATCTTTGTCAGGCATTAATATAGCTATAAACATGTAACATTTTAATAGAAATTGTCAAATTTTTTTTTCTTTTTGGGAGAGGTTTTTCGCTCTAGGGCGCGTGCGCTCGCCAGACAGACAGAGAGAGACATAGAGACAGAAAGCGAGAAATCATCCCCCAGGGGGGATGGTCACGCCGCAATCCCTTCTCCTCCATTCTCCTCTCGGGATCTTGGGCATGCACGCACACGTGCCCAGCATGAGATTTAAGCCACCGGGTCCAGGACATGAACCACGGTCAACTACGTGGGAGTCCAGCGACATAGCCATTACGCTAACTGCTAGTTCCCTAGAAATTGTCAATGTTTTCACAAACAAGTCTATTATTACAAAAAGTTTTCTCCCATTCTGTCCCACATCTATTGAGTCTTTGATAGGAAACTTCCTCTAAACGTGGAAGGTTTCTTCTGAAGTGGGATGAGCTTACACTTTGCTCGGCTTCTGGTTCTCTATCTGCACAACAGTGGTAATTAATAACAGCTCTGCCATTATGTGTGTGTGTGTGTGTGTGTGTGTGTGTGTATGCATCAGCATGACGTGTAGGTTAGGGATTAGGCATGGGCTTAAAGGAGAGGCAAGATAAAGAAAACAAAAATGAAAAGTATTTTCATTGTTGGAGAAGGTAGTTGTTAAGAGTCTTTCACTTTTTAAAGCTGGTTCGAATTATCACAGGCCAAATGAATTAGATCTCACAGCAATGACCTTGTGATTTTAAAGCACTGTGGAGGTTTCTGTCCAGAGTTGGTGACAGGTCTCATAGATGTACCCAAGACTGGGGACAGGAACTTACTTCTTTTCCCACAGGTGGAAAAATGTAGACAATTTTTGATATTCAGTAAAGAAAGTGATGAGTGCAG